ATACTGGATTAATGCTTCATTAAACTTACATGTGGTATGGTGAGTGGGTGTAATTTCTGAACAATGAACCAATCCAAGAATTGTTTGAATTTAACAATGAATTAAAAATGTGTAAAATATTGTTTTCAATAATATACCTATTTCAAAGGGTGAATCTTAAAAGTGTTTCTACTAATTTTGATTTTAGAGTCATTTAAACCCAGACTATTCGGTTATATCAATATGCATGTGAAAACTCAAAAAGAATTTTCAATAGTGGAATTACAAACAGTGATATAAGGACAAATATAAAGCTTTGGAAATCTCCTGACACTATTGTGCTTCAAACTGGTCATGTGACACTATGTAAACTGGGCTTACAGATTATTGTGGGTCTGGACATGAATCATACATATTAAAATATTTTATCATAAAAAGTTTAATAAATATTTTCTTGACATTATTTCAGTACAAGGGTGCAGTTATAATGCAGGCTGCGAGTGTACTGCCTGAAGCAGAAAGTAACACTCACATGACACACACTTGTAAATGGAAGAAGATATCTAAGGAGAAACAATATATGTTGGTGAATTCTAATGGTCGAAAGTATGGGTTGGCACCACCAAATCCAGGTCAGCATATGTGTGTAGGAACCAGTCTTGTATTCTTGACCCACTTCCTTTCCTACTAAACTCGGGCTCTATTCATGTGATAACCAGATGGTAGCAAAGTGAATATGACTGGGTTGAAGGGTAAGTAATGTTGTCTGTTATGGACCACAGAAAGCAACATGACTATAGGTATTGGTCATGTGGAGACTCACTGAAGCCAATGGGACATGAGTACACTTGCTTCACCAAGGTATAATTTTGAGATCCTGCTTCTAATAGTAATTTTAGAGCAGGTCATGGTCGTAATTGGAAAGTTACACCCCTCTTTACACACTTCACACCTAGCTGACCTTATAACCAGTTGGAATTCATTTGACCTCATGTTTTCAATCTGGACTTTTCCTACTTAAGACTTAATTCTTGATCATTCTGGCCATTTATTTCTTCAACTAGCCAGTGGGTCTCCATATTACTTGCCTGCTTACCTTGAGAATTTTTATGCTGCATCAGAAGACATCACTTAAATGAAGACCAGTACGTCTAGGACTTCCTCTACAATGAAGGGTATGAATAAATGGCTGATTTTTAGATTCCTGGTTCTAGCCTGTTGTTCACCATGACAAAGCTTGTAGACTAAGATGCACTGCTTGCCAACAGAATAGATATGGAAGAGCTTGTTACATTTGTTATCTGATTGGTCCTGAAATCTCATGGGGCTGGGCAGCTCCTTCAACCAGTTAGATTCCTTATAATCTAAGCCTCCACTAGATGTACCAGTGATGGATGGAGAAACAGTGACCATCACATTGTTGACTCCAGAGAAATTGACCCTCGAAGCAGCCCAGCAGGAGACAACTCCATGGAACTGACTCTCATGAATCTGTAGTCAACCTAGTTATTGAAGAAACACCTGAACTCACTCCTGAAATGTCCTGTTGGAGGGTGAAATGTATTCAAACACTGATGGTAACAAATGTGCTCATATCTCTGGTGGGAACATGATATCCCTAAGCCAAAGAAATCCTTTCTAGAGCTAGGATGCTATCAAGGATCAACCAAGTTCTGGGAGGGCCAGGGCTAGAAAGAACCACAGATGATGGCTGCTGCCTCAGGACTCACAATCACAATGTCCAACACCATAATGACTACCATAGTGGTCAAAACAAGCCAGCTGAGAATGTAGGTTCACATAAGCTCAGGAGTAACAATATCAATTAATGGACCATCCACCATTCACCCAGCAAAGATGAGGCAAGGGACTTCTACCTCAATGACATTCAAACAGTCCCAGGTACAATCCCAGAGGCAACCTCAAATACATCTAAGGTGATCATTAACCAGCATATACAAAAGCAGATTCTCATATACAAGCAGCTGCCAAATGGATCAAAGCTGGGACCTTCTACAACAAGGACGATAACTAGTTGCTGCAGAGACCTTCACCTCTATTGCACCTTGAGGATGAGAAGTGCTGCTTGTAGGCCAAGATTGCAGAGATGAAGAGGGTCCTAGCCAAAGCTCATGATACAGGTGGACAATCAGAAGACAGCCACTGCATTCAAGGAACTTCTGGTGGGATTAAGGTGAGAGGAGTGATGCCACATGCTTGCCTCAGGATAAGTGTATATATTTTGTATATTCTTTATTTACTTATTTATTTACGCATTCATACTGTATATTGTATCTGTATCTTTGCATTTTCTTATTTTTTCTAAATGTGTACTATGTTATAGTTATTAAAAAAAGGATTACTATAAATTTTAACCATGTTATATTGTGTTTTATAATAAGGGGTTGTCTTATTTTATCCTATGTTTTAAGAAGGTTTAATTATATGATGTGTTTTAACTCAGCAAGGATGATTTTCTCTGTTTTGGTTTTATCGTATTTCATTTAAAGGGTTTATTTTGTTTGTTATTAAGCACAAACCTGCACAATGGGCTATCTTTGTTGTGCCCACCATTAGTATTAAAACATGTTTTTTACAATTATATGTTTTCAGACTAACCACTGAGCCACTGGGGGATTTATTTTACTGTATTGTATATAAATCTAACTATTATGGAATAGCTTCTATCAGAAGAGCTTTTAAAATTCTACAATAATAATACTTGCAATAACAGTATTAATTATAAGTAACAAGCAAACTACAAAGCTTCTATGACCACTCTGTCCTATGTCATCAGGTGAATGCCCTCGCTGTTAGCAATGTTTTCAGCTCTTAACTTAAGAACACCTGATGTTTTGAATTCTATTTTCTTTCAATATGGAATAATGGATAAATTCAATTTTTTTTATCACTGTTTTCTATGTAATTCTATTTTTCATTAAACATTTGGCATATTTGATTTTGTACAGTGACTGTTATTTTGTTGTTAAAAGTTATATCAGTAGATGCAGTGTAGTATTTGCAATATTAATTTTAAAGAGTTTTGTAGTAGTATTTTTGTTAAAGTTTTATTTTCATTGTTTTTGTAAATTTGCATTTATTTCATGAGTTGCAATCTGTGTTAAAGGGCATTTTTATTTTGAACTTCTATAGAATCATTGGAAGGGTTTTCACTTGTGATATTTATCATTGTTAAAGTATAATGGAATTATGTCATTGTTAAAGTTTTCTTTGACTATCGCACAATTATGTCTCAATTAAAGGGTATTTATGTAAGGTAACTATTACTAACGTTTAGTTTTCAAGGGCTTTCTTTTCTAATATATTTGTTGTATTGTATCTTTGTTAAAGAGTTTTTGTTCAAGTATGTGATGCAAAAGGTATTATTTCATTGTTAAAAGTTTTTTCTTTATGTATCTTTTTTTTTTGTTAAAGCATTGCGTTGTCTGTATTATGTGTACATGTGTCCAGAATCAAGAGAAGCTTACACAGCTCTTGACCAATGTGAATTTGTAAATTTTGATTGGTTTTAAAGTTTAAAAATTAATGTTGGTTTGAGAATGAGCCTGAAATAGAAAGGGGAAGTGTTATATGCTGGTATACCATGTATTTCTATCTTCTTATTTTAATGTAGAATTCTTTATAAATTTTAATTTTGGGGGATGTGTGCAGTTTTTACAGAACTTGAGCTCAAGAAAATTGTTAAGTTGATTTTTTTCTAGCTATCTTTATTCTGTCATTCCATTCTGCTCATGGGGAGGGGGTATAGTTGTAAAGGTTGATAGCAGTGTGCTTTAATCATAGGTTAGGTGATATCTCGTGATTACAACCTCCCTTACATTTGATTAGGAATAATCAGTCACGTGAAAAGCATTAGTCACTTTGTGTAAGTCTGACATTACTGATTCAACTAAGTAACATGAGATTCAGTCAGTCTGAAAAAGAACTTAAGTTTGAAAATAAGTCTTGAGGGAGTATACTCAACCTGATAAATTCACAACTCCAACAAAGGTGACTTTCCATCCTTCAGGATTTTTTTATAGGGCCACAATTCTTTACAGTAGGTGTCTTGGATTTGTTGGTGGTAAATTCCAACAATAAACAGACAGCACACAATCCACTTGTTATAAAATAATATATATTTAAAACAAGTCAATCGTATGTACAAAACGTTTTGTTACATTATTGGTTACCACAATTGAATATAGAGCTTTAAATAATTCTCTTTTTGTTGTCAAAAGTCCACATAGGCTGGTTCAGTTACTTTAGAACCCAACTGACAAGAATAATTCCTCTCTATCTCTGTTGTTATAATACAAGCTGTGAAACTTTCACTTTAAAAATCACCTTTAAATGGCTAAACTGACAGTCATGCAATCTAACTTCACTTTTTTTTTTACTTTTACTTTCACCAACTTACTTAATTTCCTCTCTGTATCTGCACATATTCATAACAAACAACAGAAAAATCTAGAAATATCTAGCCCTCTAGTAACTACAATATTACACATAATGAGAAAACCTTAGAGGCTTCGAGTAAGATGACGTCAACAATATTACAAAAGTTTTCAAAACAATTGCTTTTATAATAATTAACTTTTAACACTCTTGTTATGAAAACTAAATAACCATTAAATATTAAATCACTAAATAAACTAAATAATAACTCTTAAACTGAACAGTCTTGTATATCCAACACTATCATTCATAAGATAAAGTACACACACTGTTGATTTGTTTTAAAGAAAGATTGTTTTCTTCATGTATTACACTTTATGTCCAGTCCATTTATTTCTTAGCATGGATTCAGCTAATCTTAGTGGAACTCAGTAGTACTTTTCAGTGTATCTTTCCAAGCCTTCAATCATATAGTACACCTATCTATATATATATATGTTTCTATGATTAATATCAAAAGAGCAATTTCGTATTTACTTCTGAGGAACATGGTGTAACCTTATGCAAAAATGTGTTGTTTTACTAACCTTATAATTAAAGTAGACATTATGAGTTCTGCACTTGAAATAGTACCTTTCATGAAACTTTAATATTGTAAGTGAAAAAATACTCACTTGCTTTCTTTCCAGATTGTGTTTCTCTTCCACAAGTGATTGTATTTTTTGCTCATTTTCAGTAATTAATTTCTAATGAAAAAAAGTCACTTTAAAATTCAATACAGCATGAGCATAAGTCTCTATTGTATCTGTAAAGACAAACTTTTAGAATTACAGTTACAAGTTTGAACATCAGAAGATCTTAAAAGTTGTGACTAACTGGATGAGTCTGAGATATGAAAGATGACTTAAAGATTGTTTTCACAATCCAATAATGAAAACTACATTAAAATAATGTAATAAATACATCAAAAGTTGAGTTGGTACTTGCAAATAAAAGAACCAATAAATGTATGTGGTTGGAGTAGGTGGGTAGGTGTGTTTAAAATAAATAAAAGGATAAATCATCTAAATGGCTAAAATGATGTTGAATGACAGAAAAATTGCCAAAATATGAGTGATAAATTTTTAATTTTTGTTATTTAAGAGCAAACACTAAACAAATAATATTATAAAAGATACAACTTAGTAAACACAATACATTTCAGCCAGTCCTTTTCAGTACTAAGAGCAATGTAATACACAAGCAGACAACAAGACTTTTGTCCTTTAAGTCATCCCCCCCCCCCATAATCACCACAAAGAAAAAAATAAATATGTAAATCCATCCTATATTTTTCAGGAATTCATCTATTTCTCTCTTAAACTTCAGTAAAGTGTTAGTCTCCATTAATGCCAATGGCAACTCAATCCATAAGCTAATCATCCTGCTATATAAAATAATTGGAGCCAAGTCTGGCTTTAACAAAATTTCAACTTGTGTCCTATTATCCTATTGTTTTCATAATACTTCAGAATACAGCACAAAGAAATAAGAGACACGTACTCTAATGTAATTTCTAAGAGGTATAGTATACTACTGATCCCCTGGATAATCTCGTAATTCCAAAAAATTATTTCTTACCCTATTTTTCTCCTGAGGCAATAAGTTAACAAACCTTAAACTATCCCTATAAGATTAGATGTACTTGTGCATGGTCCTCAAGATTGTTCTGTTTCAAGAGTAAATAAAACCGAAATTAAGAGTAACAAATATTTTTATTTTTTGCTTTCGAAGTTCATATGTCATGCTGTGTTGTAGCCTATAGACTGCATAATTCTTCTCGTGATTCATGACATGTGCATGTTTTACTGATGTCATGGCAGTACAAATTTTAACTTTAAGCATACCTTACATGTCGTCATTTTAAAGTCTACTGACTGACTGACAGACAACACACTACTGTATAGTGGTGTGAGAGGTTAAAACAGGTGACCCATCCAGGCAGTCTTCAGCCCCTTTCAGGGAAATAATTCTAG